GTACGTATATGAACACCAAGAAGGCCAATTGGGACGGTTTTACGGAACACACGGACCGCAAATCCAATGCTCCACCACCAAAATGCGCGCGCGAAGCTGAGCGAAACATCCGCCGGATCACCAACGCAGCAGCCGCCCGCTTCATACCAGCCAGTAGGATTGCCAAAATATGCCCGGGCTTTCCAGCTGAAGCGGCGGGACTCGCAGACGAGCGTGATCGAATCCGCCAGTCTAATCCTGGTGATCACCGTATCAGGGATCGCAACAAGGACATTAACAAACTGGTTAACGAACACAAGCGGAAAACATGGAATGAGCACCTCAAGACTTGCAATCTCTCCAGCGGAGCTAGCAAACTGTGGACGGCAGTAAAATCTCTCTCCCATCCGGCGAAACGCAAGGACAACGCTGACGGAATCTCGATGCAGATGCTGAAAAAGCTAGGACCAGTGGGAGTCGAGTACATCACAGCAGCTTTCAACTTGTCACTGTCCACCCTGGTCCTCCCTGATATGTGGAAAATGGGTAGGATCATACCCCTCCTTAAGCCATGGAAGAAGGCGGACGCAGGAGAATTTACCCGCCAATCTCCCTCCTATCCCCAGTGGCAAAGACAATGGAAGCACTACTCCTCCCCAGTCTAACGAAACATCAGCAACTAGCCCAACACCTACACGGATTCCGCAAAATGCACAGCACGACCACTGCATTAAACGCCATCACCACACAGATAAGCGAGGGTCTGAACCAACGTCGACCATTTCCACGACAGCCGGTTCTACGTACCGGAATGACTCGGGTTTTACCCGACCAAGGGCTGTTGTTTCGGTGATCTTACCCCGTTTAGGTCGGCGAAGTATCTCAGAAGTTGTTCATCCATAGGGCTACATTCACTACGTATTCTTCTACTCAGGGCTGGCATCGAGTCAAACCCAGGGCCAGAAATCTACACCTGCTGACACGACAGACCACAGAACACATTCCCACGACAGCCGGTTCTACGTACCGGAATGACTCGGGTTTTACCCGACCAAGGGCTGTTGTTTCGGCGATCTAACCCCGTTTAGGTCGGCGAAATCCATCAAACGTTACTCGATCCTAGGGCTACATCTTCTCCGTACCCTTGTGCTCAGGGCTGGTATAGAGGCAAACCCAGGGCCAGAAATCTACACCTGCTGCGTATGCCAGAGACGACTGCATACAAACTCCACCTCGCTCAGGTCCAATGCCTGAGACAGGTGGAGTCACCTCCGTAACTGCTCGGGCCTACGTACGCACCGACGTCGTTCGTGGCCCCATGCTGTGCGAACCGGACCGCATCCACGGCAAACCGCCTGGGCAGCACACAATCAACACACCCACACCCCAACACAACACAACAATAGACACACAAACAAACACAATAGCACCCGCACACCGCCGCCGGCAACTCCTAGTCCCTCCGACAATCTGCTCTGTTTGTCAGTCCAGAATATACCGTAGCGTGACATTAGTCAAGTGCAACTTTTGCCTCGGCTGGTGCCACTTTAGGGCGTGCTCAGGACTTCGCAACACGCGAGATTGGAAGAGTGATTATGTGGGCCCCAGCTGTGCTGCCCCGTCGCATCCCTCCCCCGCGACGCCACCAACCACCACCACAACCGGCAGGCAACACAACTCTTTAACACCACACATCACAAACGGTCTCCCAAGGCACACAAAGGTGCTACAATTTAACTGTAACGGACTCCAGAGCAAGATCGAGGAGATAACAGTCTTTATGGGAAGGCATGGAATATTAAAAGCTGCGGTCCAAGAGACGAAGTTGCAGTACAATTCAACCCTGTTGAATTGCGCCGGATACAACATGCACCGTCGAGATCGCGAGCTAGATAATGGTGGAGGTTTAGCGTTCATCACGCACCACACCGTGCAGTATCGTCTTATTGAAGCAGACATCAACCGCAGGGATACCATCTTAAAATGTCAGGGTATTGCTATCCGGTCAGGCGATGTTGAGCTCAAAATATTTAACGTATACATACCCCGTCACCAGCTGCCCGGCTGGATATCACACTGTGGTATGAAAGGATAAATACACAAAATTTACGTTTTTCATTAAAAAATCTTACAATGGACTTTTATTTTAATTTAAACTTACATTTAAGAAAACTCCATTCAATGCTATAATTACGATTTGAGTTTTCCAGTTTATAAAACACAAGCGTTAATTATGTACTTAACTATTGATATTATTCTTCATTAAGCATGAATATCTGCATACATTAAAGATGAATATTATACTTAACCTACATTTTGTTCATAAATAACACATAATTATGTATATTTTATCCTCGAAATGAACTTTTTCTAATCATGAGACGAAATTCCCCACAGTAAGTGTTGCCGTGCGCGCAAAACGAAAACGCAGCACACAACCCAAAAGTACTCCTCGGGGGCCAAATGGTGAAAAACTGCGAAAAGGTTTATTCCTGTATATACTGTGCTCTCTATGTACTTGTTTAATTAAGTCTTATTTTAAGTATATGTCCTGTAATTGTAGAACTCACTTAAAAATACTACTCTGTTGATTATATTATGTTACTTTTATTTAGTCTTAAGTAATTTTTGCTGTTTTAGTTATATGT